ATGGAGGAGGGAGGGAGGGAGGAAGGAAAATGAAGAAAGGAAGAAGGAAAAAAGGAAGGAAAAAAGAAAGGAAGAGAGATAGAGGAGGAGATGGGGAGGAGAAGAAAGGAAAAGAAAGAAAGAACAAAAAAGGAAGAAAAAGAAAGAGGAGATGAAGGAGGGAGGGAGGGAGAAAGGAAAACGAAAGGAAGAAGGAAAAAAGAAGAAAAAAGAAAAAGTTAGGTGTGAGAAATCCGTCCCTGTTGCCGTGGAAAAGGGAGGCAGGCAGGACAGTGGCTTTTCTATAAATCCCTCTGCCTTCTGGCTGAGCTAGTCAAAGGAAATCTGGCTTTCTAAAACGTTGCCACCTTTCAAAGCGGAGGGGCTCCAGGAAAACGGCCAAACTACAACTACCAGCAGCTCCGACAACCAGAGAGGGATGCTGGGAATTGTAGTTTTAACGACTTGGAAGAGGGTACCTCTCTTAGGAAGTCTTTTTTTTCAGACTGGGAGGTTGGGAATTTTGCAGCCAGGAAGGCTTTAGAGCAGGGATGGCTAACCTTTTTGCCGTTGCATGCCAAAAGCGGGGGGTGGGGGATATGGCTACGCATGCCACCTGTGGCACACGTGCCATTAGTTTGCCATCACGGTTTTAGAGGAAGGGTTTCCAACCTTAGCCACTTTAAGGTTTGTGGACTTCAACGCCCAGAATTCCTCAGCCAGGCATAGGTGGCTGGAGCATTCTGGGAGTTGAAGTCCACAAGTTCAGGAAAAAAAAACATTGTTTAGAGAGTTGGAGAAATGTATATACATATAAAAAATAAGATTAGCAGTTGCACCCTTTTGCCATAAAGCAGGTTAAAGAAATAGAGGGAGACGAGAGGAAAGAAACACAAAGGGAATTCTCAAATTACACCGAGAATAAAGCAGAAAAACGGAAGCCTCCTTTTGCAGGGAAGAAATGGCAAGTTAGATTTTGGGACTGCAATTATTGGGAGAGATAACAAGCCGGGTTGCTCTTCTCTCCTTGTGTAACAAAGGGATCCCAGCTAATCCACAAGGAAGGCTGATCAATGGCTCTTTGCTATCCTGCTAATTGCCAAGCCAGCGATCGGCATAAGGGATGGAAGGAGGAGGGCTCTGCAAGGAAAGAGGGGAGAAGGAGGGCAGCCTTGCCAAGGAGGTTGGTGGAAAGGCCACTGACCTTAACCCTAATCTTACTAAAGGGTTCAAAAAGGAGCAGGAGGATGGGGAGCCAATTGACTCCAGAGCAAGGATGCATGTTTTTTAATTATTATTATTATTTTTTTTATAAAAGCACATTCACCTAATTTATTTATTTATTGGTTCGATTTATATGCTGCCCTTTCTCCGGAGACTCAGGGCGGCTTACAATGCGTTAAGCAATAGCCTTCATACTTTTGTATATACCTGCTTAGTAGGGCTTTCGGGCCCCCCCTAAGCAGTGTTCTTTTATATACAAAGTCAGCTTATTGACCCCCACAATCTGGGTCCTCATTTTACCTACCTCGGAAGGACGGAAGGCTGAGTCAACCTTGAGCCCTGGTGAGATTTGAACTCACAGTCATTGCAGGCAGCTGGCCGCTAAGTGCTACTTAACAGCACTTTAGTCCGCTGCACCACCAAGGCTCTAATCCATTTCATATTTTTTGTTTGTTTTTTTACTGCTTTTTCAGTTCAATTTGGCCAGAATCCCGTTATTAAATCAGTGTTTCTCAACCTTGGCAACTTTAATCAAAGGGTAGACTTTCATCTCCCAGAATTCTCCAAGCCAGAATTGTTTTAAAAAAAATAATAATAATACATCTAATTGAATTAGATGATGGATGAGATAATTAGATTAGACACCCCTCCCTTTTTTTAAAACAAAAAACAAAAACCACACATTTAGGCTTGTGAGTCTGCCCATTTCCACAAGTGGAGATCGCACTTGGCTTGTTTCATCGCTGTAATCCCTGCATTACATTTCCCTCTGCCCCCCTGCCTCTTCTACACCCCACATGGACGACTTTAGCTGCACTGGATGTTGGCCGACCGTCGCTTTAATTCTAAACCATCTTTGGGAGGAGATGGTTCAACCCCTTCCAGATTTTTTGGTCCGAGAGAGTGTGTCTACACAGGTAGTTAATAACATCTGCAACCTGTTTCGACTCTGGTGCCCCCTGCAGGCAGCCTGAGACTTAGCATAAAGGTTTCCAGAGGGTGTGGTCCTTCTCTCATCCCTTGAATTCCAATGAGTTGCATGGAGTGGGGGTGGGGGGGCGTGTTTGCTTTGCTTCTGTTGTTTATTGTGAATTTTTTTTCCCCCTCTGGAAAATTAGTGCCAACCTGTTCAAGGGGGCTTTTTGGGGGGGGGGTTGAGGAAATAGCCCCTGATATCACTCACTTCTGATAAACTTGCAAAGGGGTGTGTGCAGTGGGGAAATCCAAGTTGTTTTTTTTACTACCGGTTCTGTGGGTATGGCTTGGTGGGCGTGGCAGGGGAAAGGATACTGCAAAATCTCCATTCCCTCCCCACTCCAGGGGAAGGATACTGCAAAATCCCCATTCCCACCCCACTCCTGGGAAAGGGATACTGCAAAATCCCCATTCCCACCCCACTCCAGGGGAAGGATATTGCAAAATCCACATTCCCTCCCCACTCCAGGGGAAGGGATACTGCAAAATCTCCATTCCCACCCCACTCCTGGGGAAAGGATATTGAAAAATCCCCATTCCCATCCCACTCTGGGGCCAGCCAGAGGTGGTATTTGCCGGTTCTTCGAACTGCTCAAAGTTTCCACTACCGGTTCTCCGAACCATCTGCCACAATCGCTACTGGATCACCAGATCCGGTCCGAACCGGGAGCATTTCACCCCTGGGGGTGTGCAGAGTTGAGTTGCTGGGGGTTCGTAGGGGTTCGGGAGAACCTCTAGCTAAGATTCTGTGCAGTTCGGAGAACCCCAAATCCCACTCCTGGCTGGCCCCGCCCCCACCCTGCTCCTCCCAGGAGATCCCCACGCGGCCTGTTAAGTGCAGGGCGTGTGCGGAGGCTCGGGGAGGGCGAAAAACAGGCCTACCGGAAGTTCGGGAAGGCCTCCAGAGAAAAGCCTCCGGAGCCTGGGGAGGGCAAAAACACCCCCCCACCCCCCTGCAGGAGGCTGACTAGGCCACACCCACCATGGCCACACCCACCCAGCAACTGGGCAGAGAACCCCTTGCTAAAATTTTGGAAGCCCACCACTGAGTGTCTCGTTAAGGGAAAGACTTGGGCTGGGACAAGCCAGCATCAGGCCTTGATCGGAACAGAATAACGGAGTTGGAAGGGACCTTGAGGTCATCTAGTCCAAACCACGCGCCCCTCCCCCAAGCAGGAAACCTTCCATCATGTCAGGGAACAACCTGATTTTGGGCCTTTCGCATCTCTCAGCCCTACAATCTAGATTTGTCCCCAAGGACCTAAAATTAAGGGAGATTCCCACTAAATTAGCCTGCTTGAATCCTTTGATATTAAAGCTTATGCACAGGTAGTCCTCGACTTAGGACCAGTTGCTTAGTGACTGTCTGATGTTATGACAGGACATCTCCCCCCCCACCCCCAAAAATAGGACCTACTATCCAGATTTAAAGTTCCAGAGTCAGGGAATCATCCCCACGGTCACACGACTGCAATTTTTTGGCACTCGGCAACGCTCCCCTCCCCCCATTTATGTCCATTTCGCCAGAAAGCAGCATTTGCTTCCCCTTTCACCCCCATAGCAAACGATGGGTTCGCTTAACGACCGCTGCGAAAAAATAATAAAATTAAAAAGGGGATAACATTGGAAATGCGGCCACGCGGAGATCCCCTTTACGGCCGTCGCAACTCACGACCAAAATCGTGGTCTCAATTCCAGGGGTAACTCGGGGACTTCCTGTACTTCTTGGTAACCTAACAGTAACAGAGTTGGAAGGGACTTTGGAGGTCATCTAGCCCAACCCCCTGCTCCCGCATTAGACCTGTACTAAGGATTCGAACCGCCCGAACTGCTGACTGATTGACAAGCTCAGCGTCTTAAGCCACTGAGCCACCTAGTCAAGCCCCCTTCCAGCGTAGACAGAAGAATCAAACAAAAACCGAGATGGAATCCCTAAACAGGTGATTCGTGTCCCACCTGTCTTTAAAAAAAAAAAAAAAAAACAGGTGGGACTTTGATCCCCCTGGGTATGGCAGTCATCTTGACCTCCTCCTACCCGTGTCCTGGGTAGAAGTTTTTTTTTTCTAAAAACCCCTCCACAAAGCAGCCTCAGGAGCTGGTTTTGAACCTTTGGCCCACCCAGGTATCATCCCACGCAGGTATGATGAACACCTGGCTCAAGGATCCCCGTTGGCCCCAAGGCTGAATTTCCACGCTCCGGACGGATTGGCGGCTCATCTCAAACGGGGGAGACCCTCCTACCCATCATCCCCCCCCTCCCTCCTTAGATGCATGCATTACGATGATGATCATCCCTAGCATTGTTGTGTTTGGTAACCCGGGATGGGGGGGGCTCCCTCCCAGCGCCCCCTCCCTTCTATTTCTCCCCCCCCCACAACGTCCAGCAGTGGCATTAGATCCAATCTTATATATATCCAATATTGGCCATGGGGGGGGGGGGTTGGAAGGGGGGGGGAACGGAGCCACCTGGACTACACCAAGTCTCCGCTAAGAGGAGGGGGGGCGAGTGGGAGCTTTCCCCCTCCCCACCTCTGCCCCTCCTCTCCCCCACCCCACCCCTGGCTCAGCGTGGCTTCCCATCCCCGGGCATCCCACCTGTCGCCTCCCCTTTTCCGCCCCACCTGGCCTGAAAGGACCCCTCCCCGATTTGCATAGAAGAGGGTGGGAGGGGGGGGTGATGCTAACCCCCCCTCCCCACTTTTCCACTCTTCCTCCTCCCCCTCCTCCTCCTCTCCCTTTCGGCGTTCCGACTGGCTCCGTCCTCCCCTCTCCTCGCCGGCCCCAATGGTCTCTCCCGGGTGCTCTATTTAATCCCAGTCACTGCAGCATCCTCGGCTTTTCGCTGGACCTCTCGGCGGCATCCTCCTGGCCGGCCAGCTCCGCGCCACTGCGGTCCCGCTTCGGAGGCTTGAGCCGGGGCGGAGGGGTCGGGGCCAAAGGTCGAGCCCTGCTTTTTTTTTTTTTTTTTTTAATTATTTTATTTTTTTTTCTCCCCCACCCCCTCCTCTCTTTTCCCCCCGCCGGTGGGGAGGGGGCAAGGACGAAGTTTGCCAGCCACCCGCGAGGGGGGAAAGGCATCGGATCCCCCCCCTCCTCTTCTTCTCCTCCTCCTCCTCCTTCTCCTCCCCGCTGCCCTCCTTTCCTTCCTTCTTTCCTTCCTTCTTTCTTCCCCTTCCCTCCCCACGACAGACGGTCCCCCCCACCCCTCCGCCTCTCCTCCCGGCTCCCTTTGCCCACGATGCTGCCTCTGTGGCTCCTGGTCAGCTCGGGGTTGATCGCAGCCAGCCGTGGGAATCTCTCGCACGACCGTGAGTCCACGCCTCGGCTGGGGAGAAGGAGGGAGGGGGGGGTGCGTGGGGATGAGGTTGGAGGAGGGAGAGCCGTCCGTGGGGAGGGAGGGGGGAGGGGAAAGCGCCCTGCAAGAAGGGAGACTTGGTCGTTATGGCCATTATATTTATTTTATTGCCGTCTAAAGGGGGAGGGGGGTTTCCTGGCGCTGCGAGGGTGGGATGTTTTTACACGCGGGGGGACCGAGAAGGAGGGGAAGGGGGGCGGACGAGAGAGAGAGAGAGAGAGAGACAGACAGAGACGGGTATCCCACCGGACTCCAACCCTGGCCAAGCCAAGCGAAAGGAATTCCTTTGCAAGGCACCCCAAGTCTTTCCCGGGCAGAGGAGATCCCCTTCCCCCATCAAGCCCCCTCCCCCTTCTCTCTCTCTCCTTCTCCAAGGGGACCTCCTCAAAAGATTTATTCGGGCTTCTTCGCTTTCACAGAACAGCAGCAAGCAATAAATAAAAATGGGTGGGTGGGTGGAAGGGGGGGGGGCTTTCCAAAGGGGGCGTCCCGCATTTAAAATTAGGGAGCAACCCCTTGGAAAGGAAAAAGCTGGGAGAGACGGGAGGAACGGCTGGGGGGAAGGGGGAGTGGGGAAGGGGGGTTCGCTGCTTGCTTGCTTGCGATGGGAAGGTGGGGGTGGAGGAGGGGGGGGGAAAGCCCCCCCCTCCCCAGGATAGCAACTCGGCTGCTTCGTTGTTGATGTGTCTGACTTGGGGCGGAGGAGGAAGAGGAGGAGGAGGAGAGGAGGAGGCGACTGCAGGAATCTTTGCCAGTTCTAATGTATGCAAACAGAGCCACCTTGGGAGGGAGCAGCCCTTAAGTGGGGTGGGGGAGGGAAGGGAGGGAGGGAAGGAGGGAGGAGCTGGGGTTGAGGGGGGCTGCTCCCCTTTGCAAGGAACATCAACAGGCCGGCTGGCTGGCTGGGGAAACGGAGCGACTGCTGCGGCAACAACGCACGCCCGTCCGCCCGCCCGCCCGCCTGGCAAAACGAGAAGGCAACAGAGATGGGCACTGCCATTATTCCCGTCCCTTTGCCAAGGCGCTAAGAGGTTGGCGTATGGCACAACAGCATTTTTTCCCCCTTTCCTGAAACGGCTTTTGTTTGCGCAAGCGGTGGGCGTTTGGATGCTTTCTTGGGGGCCCCCTCCCCAAGAAGGGAAGCCGTGTGGGGCAAAATGCTGATCTGCTGTTTTGTGTGTGTTTTTTTTTTCATACTCTGTGCCAACCCCATTTTAACAACAACAACAACAAAAATAATAATAATAATAATTCTGACATTCAAATAATTGGGTTCTCCAAGGCTTGTTGAGATCAAAAGGAGTGGGGTGTTTTGTTTTTTTTTTTTTAATTTGCAAGAATAAATAGAAGCACATGCTTTTTTTTTTTTTGCAAGTCTGCCTGTGCCCAGAAGTGGTCCTGGCCTGGGTTTTTTCTCATCCTAAGGTGTAGAGAAGTTAGCTGGCTGCTTTCAGAAATGTTCTCCATCATGGTGTTGGAACCCAGGAACGCCTGGTCTGTGTTTGCTGTGGCGTGGACTCCTGTTGTTGCGTAAGAACCGGAAGGGGAGCATTTAATATATTTGCAAACGTTTCAAAGCCAAACAAACACGGCTTCTGTCAGTCGTGAAGGCCAAGTCTGAAGGGATAGGCGAGAGGGAGGGAGGGCAAGGAAATATTTTGGCAAAACAGCCTCTCTCCTGGGGTTGGTGGGGTGGTTTATAGAGAAGACAGCTTTTGAGAATCTCCTGGTTGACTCTTTTTGGGCAAAAGAGTTCCAAAGTTGGCTGCTTCCTTTGAAGTGGCCGTCGCTGGATCGTTTCTGCAGCGTTGAACTCTTCTTAAGACAGGGTCAGTTGGGTTGGGCCTTATTTAAAAAAAAAAAAACAACTCTTGGGATTGAATTACTAATCAAACATGGGTTGAACTTCCTGAAACATTTCTTAGCAGCGGAGAATTGGGAAGGGTTTCTGTGTTGGATTTGTATCAAAGCTTCGCTCGTCTTGTGGGCCTCTTGTGGGTCTTGTTGGGAGATGTCTTGGTCCCAAACCTTAGCTTCCCACTCTTATTCCCCAATCTTCCAATTCGGAGGTGGGCTGCCTTTGAAGCTGGAGGTTTCATGGAGTCTTAACAACCGAGACCAATAAGAAACCCCACTGGGGTTAGGTCAAAATCCTGCGAACCAAATGCCCACTCCAGATCCCTGCAAGATCTCTTCTATGTTCTAAATTGTTGGTTCCTCTCAAATTCCATGGGTGACAGACTCCTTGGCATGGTCACATACTCTGGGTTGGCAACTTGGACCATCCTCAGTCTTTAATTCAGTTCAAACGTTTGACATCCTGCTTCCTTATGTGTTGACTACGATTCGCTTCCACTTGGCAGAGCCACCAACGGAGAACATGTTGCAGGATGACTTTGCAATCTTTGCAATTTCCTCCTGTCTTCTGGAGAACTTTCTCCCAAGATCTTGGATGACGACTTGCTTCTGGAGAATTGAGAAACGGAGGAGGAGAAGGGTGCTTTTGTCCTTTCCAGAGGACCTGGGGAAGAAGACCATCCTGGGGTCTTCACCCGGATCTTCTAATCCTAACCTCCCTCCAACCTGACAGAGAGTGTTGTCCAAGTACAAAACGAATCACCTTCTCCGTAATGGACTACTGCAGGGGTCTCCAACCTTGGCAACTTTAAGACTTGTGGACTTCTACTCCCAGAATTCCTCAGCCAGCTTTGGAGACCTCTGGAGTAGTCCATTACGGAGAAGATGATTCATCCGTTTCCAATTCTCAAGAAGAAGTCGTCACTCAAGATCTTGCTCCTGGGAGAAGTTCTCCAGAAGACAGGAAACTGCAAGAGTTGAAGTCCACAAGTCATAAAGTTGCCAAGGTTGGAGACCCCTGGACTACTATACTCCTAAAAAACATCTCCCTCGCAAGGAACATGGCGGCAAGGACACTTCAGTTGTCCTAAGGTTGGGTCCACTTTAGAAGGTCGTACTGTGAGTTATACAGAGTATGTCGGTCAATATATATTCTCCCCTTACTAGAGAGATTGCCAGGGAGGACAGACGACTTTTATGTTGGCTTTCTCCTCCAAGACTCAAACCCGGCTACCATGTGGGCAGTGGCAAAATTCTGTGTCCCTGCAATGTCCACAAGAAAAAAAACGGGTTTACAGAATTATAGATGTCAACTGGTCAACTGGTGCCAATTTCTTTGGAGATATCTATAACAATTATTGGAAAAATACCTTTACTCACCTACTTATCGGCTCTCCACTCGTGTAAATTAGGGAGGGACCCTAACGGTTTGTGATCATGTATTTTCATAACAGGGATGTTATTGTTCACGATTAATGTCAGTATTATTTTTCATTTATTGTGTGTCTATTGCTGGTCAAGGACCGTAATAAAGTATTTATTTGTTGTGGCCCGTACGCGGCCTGTGCAGCTAGTAGCTGATTCTGACAGCAAGGAGGCTGGTGTGGTGCTGCGCCAGCAGCCTGTGCAGCTGGCACTCGAGTCGGACAATGAGGAGGCTGGAGAAGATGTGGTGCCAGAGGCGGGAATTCAGGCAGGGCCTTCAGAACCTCCAGAAGCTCCCTTAAGTGAAGAGGACGAAGAGGAGGAGCCTCTTCTCGATGCACGGGCGCGCAGAGCTGCCAAAAGGCAGGGGCGGCTCCTCAGGAGGAGGTCTCCTCGAGAGTAAAGAGAATTGGTCACTCCCTTAGCCTATTTAAGGAAGAACACCGACTGAAGCAATTTGCAGGGAACAACTTCGTTCACATACCTTCGTGTCTTGCCTTGCTTATCTTATCAGCTTCCTGCAAATTGCTTCTGGGCATTCCATAGTAAGCTTTCAGTTATTATTCTTTGAATTCTTGGCGGCTGTTAATGCAATTAATTAACAGCCGTTGTTGTAAAAGACTGGTTTATTCAGTAAACTAAGATTTGAACGGACTTTGTGTGTGCTGCGTTCTTTGGGGTCCGTAGCTGGGGCAGAACATTGTTCTATTCTTTAGAAGGTCTTGGTTTCAGGTTGCTGGATGAAGGTCTTGGTTTCAGGTCTCCGTTGGTTGACTTCCCTAACCACTGTTGTGCCTTTTTGTCTGACGTTTGCATTGATAGACTTTGGACAAACTTGGTTTCTATTGATGAAGTACCACAGCATGCTAAATAGGCTGTAATCTTCACTCTTCAGGATTAATGGGTCTGGGCAGCACCCTGAGGGATCAAAGCCTGTGAATACTACTTAGGTATGTGTGTGAGAGTGTGTGAGAAAAAGAAAAGCACAGAGAGCGAAGCTTGGTTCACATCACACACTTAACCAGGTCAGTGGGGAAGCATTTCTGCAAATAGACAAAGGATTGTTTGCTTTTAATTTTGATTTTGCAGTTGGCGTGTTGGGCAGGCCCAACTTCTTCCATTAGTTTCTGCTTGGCCTGACCTCGAACAATGGATTAATTCGCGACCCCAGTTTGATATGCTGTCCTAATTAACGAATTACATACATCCGGTGTGCCCTGTTTCTTGGTAAGGTTCAAGAAAGATTAAGGGAGAAACGCAGTACCTACCTACTTGAATTGGGGTTATAACTATCCTGCAAAATCCTAGTTGATCGCTAGATGGCAGCGGAGGATTTGATTTTTTTTTCCTGTAGCTCTTTGCTGCTACCTGGAGGCTGTCTAGCGTATTGCAGCTGCGAAATGGATAAGTTACATTTTCTAGTGCATTTATCAGCACAGGAGGTTATTTCTCGTGAATCATGGACTCTTTTGTGAGTCAATCTTTCTTGTGAAAATAACTTTCGGCTGAAGGAATGGCAAGTTTCAAATTTTCCCCACCCACATTGAATATTATTTCAGTTTGATCACCTGGAATGTATTTTGCAAAGCCTTTGATCTCAAACTTGCATATTTCTTGCCCTAGCGTGTATTTTCTGAATTACTGTCAATTCCCTTCCTGACATTTGGAGAG